TTAAAGATGGTAGATTTGAGGGCTGATTTGAGAGGAAAATAATCAAGGAAATAGGAGGGAATTGGGGGAGGGCTGTTTGGGTATTTGTTGTTTATTATTTGCTTTAACTATGTGATTTTCCTAGGGTTAGGGTGGTGTGTTGTTTGCTGAAATTAGATTGTTCTTAGGTTGTTTGGGTTTTAGCCGACAAATAGAGATTTGAGAGAGCCAGGTCTTCCTTTCCAATTGAAGATCCACTTGTATCTTGTCTTTTCTTTCATAAAACTTAAAAAAAAGTGTTAGTGTGTTTTATTCCTGATTTTCTTGTCGTTGGTTTTTCTGAAGTTGTTGAAATCAAATTTCAGCAATTTTAGCAAACTAGATTTCAGCCTAGGGTTTTCCTAAATTTCTGCAAGCTATTCCTATCGAATTGATATCAGGACAGATTTTGGGATTGTTTTTGTGCTATTTATGTGAAAACCAACGTATGTCTTTGGGACGGAAGAGGGACTATTCACTATTTTTTGGCAGTCAAGATCTAGATTTTTGAGTTTACAAAGATCCAGGTATTGATGGCGGCCAAGAAAGTGGATGCATTGGAAGAACGCCATGAAGGGGAGATGAGCCAAATGAAAGCAACAGTGGATGATAAAATATCAGCCATGGAAGGTTAACTTTCATATCTCCACGAGATGGAGATGAAGATATTAGAAAATCGAAATCAAACGGCAACATCGGAGGCAATAGGTCCGGTAGGGAGAAATACAAATTCTGAAATTCATAGTTGGGAAAACGATGTGGAGATCATTGAGGAGAGAGGTGGGAGTGTATGGAGAGGCGTGTTTATGGGGGGCATGAACCAAGGGTTGCTGATTGGGAAAGAAAAAATGGGGATTATGGTAGGAGGGTTGTTGATTTTGAAGGGTGGAGAGGAGAAAGTGAATAGGGGTATGGGTTTCAGTATGAGTGTGGAGGGGAGGATTAGACTTGGGGAGAACCAAACACTTGGGAAAGGGAAAATTTTGGAGGATTAAGGGAAAATGGAGGATATCTGAAGGTACGGAAGATGAAGATGCCCATTTTTGAAGGGGAGATGCACATGGTGGATCTACAAGGTGGAATGATATTTCACCGTCAATGGGTTGACAGAAGAGGAAAAATTGACGGCAGCTGGCTTATGTCTGGAAGGGAATGCATTGTCTTGGAGGAGGCCTATACGGAGTTAGAGGGAGTTCAAGGAATGCTTTTTGGAATGTTTCCAAACCGCCAGGGGAGGTGACTTCCATGAGCAGTTCTTTACACTAGTGCAGGAAGGCTCAATGGCAGATTATCGCGAGAGATTTGAGTACCTGACAAGTCGATTGGATCGACTATCAAAGACTGTTATGGAGGGGAATTTCACGAAGGGTTTCAAATCAGAGATCCGGGCAGCAACGAGAGTCATAAGGTCTCATGACTTTGGAGAGGCTATGGAGCTGGCACAACTAGTGGAGGATTAGAAGTACCAGGAGATGGGAGCCAGATATAGTAGTTCAGGTGGCTCTTACAGGATGACTATCATTGTTTTAGCACTCAAGGGGCCTATATTGTGCAACTTTCGTGAGACTCCCAGGGAGAAGCCAGTAGGAGGAAGTGGGGGGAACTTCAAAAGACTATCTGAGAGGGAGATGCAGGAGCAAAGGGCGAATGGACTATGCTTCCGATGTGATGAGAAGCATACTCTCGGGCACTAGTGTAGGGATCAAACTCTTCAGGTACTCACAATTTATGATGACGAGGAAACTGAGGAGAGAAGTGAGAGTGAGGTAGAGGACAAGCTACATCTTGATATGACAGAGATTTCCCTGAACTCACTGGTAGGATTCACTACGAATCATACCATGAAGATGAATGTAGCATACAAGAAGGTAGTGGTGCTGATTGACAGTGGGGCTACCTAAAATTTCATCTCCAACCAGGTCGTGGACCAATTGGGGGTGACATTGCTGGATATAGGGTGTTATGGAGTGATGATGGGTACATGGAAGGTGGTGACGTGTCAGAGGATATGTAGGGGAGTAGTGTTGACCATACAGAGGATTCAGGTGAGGGAGAATTTTCTCCCATTGGAGTTATGGAGCACTGATGTCATTCTGAGGTTGAAGTGGACGCAGACCTTGGGGTCACCAAGGTCAATTGTGGAGCATTGACGATGGAGCTGATGGTGGAAGGGAGAATGGTAGTGATCAAGGGAGATGCAGGGCTCACCAAAGCCATGGTATCACTTAAAACTATGGTGAGGAGCATACAAGAGATGGGGGAATATTATTTGGTGGAACTTCATAGGCTGGAGGGGATTATATTGGAAGAGGGTGGAGACATTCCTCTATCATTACAACCATTGATTCAGCAGTTCAGTGAGATTTTTCAATCGCGTCAGCGATTGCCATCGCCCATGAAGTAGGAGCATGCTATAATCTTGAAGGAAGTAGCCTCAACTATCAGTGTTCATTTGTATCGTTATCCCAAAATCTAGAAGGATGAGATCGAGAGTTTTATCAGGGATATGCTGGAGGCAGGGATCATTCGACCTAGTGTCAGTCAATTTTTCAGTCCAGTGCTATTAATCAAGTGCTTTAGCAGCAGTTTCCTTCGTTCCACCTTGAGTACAAGGTGACACTTTGGGAGGTGAATATTGATGGACCGACCAATTTGATTGGGAGAGAATTAGAAAATTTCCTAATCAAGAGGGAGTTGTTTGGGAAGGGTTTTTAATCAAAATGAATTAATTAGGAGATGTTTCCTAATTAAAGAGAGCATATTTGGGGGCTGATTTAGAGGAGATTAATTATGAATTATTTTCTAATTGAAGAGGGCAGATTTGTGGGCTGATTTGGAAGGGATTAATTAGAAAATGTTTCCTAATTGAAGAGGACATATTTGAGGGCTGATTTGGATGAGATTAATTAAGAAATATTTCCTAATTGAAGAGGACATATTTATGGACTGATTTGGGAGGGAAATAATTAAGGAAATAAGAGGGAATTGGGCTAGGGCTATTTGGGTATTTGCTGTTTATTGTTTGATTTAAATATGTGATTTTCCTAGGGTTAGGGAGGTGTATTGTTTGCTGAAATTAGATTGTTCTTAGGGTGTTTGGGCTCTAGCCAGTGTTTAGAGATTTGGGAGAGCCAGACCTTCTGCTCCAATTGAAGATCCACTTGTATCTTGTCTTTTCTTTCATAAAACTTTCAATAAAAAAGTGTTTGTGTGTTTTATTCCTGATTTTCTTGTCGTTGGTTTTTCTGAAATCAGATATCAGCCTAGACTTTTCCTAAATTTCTGCAAGCACTTCCTATTAGCTACCTCAAGGGTTAAATAATGGTTGATCATCAATATTGGGAGATGAACTTGTCCTATATAAGCCCATGTAACACTCACTTGTAAATCATCCTTTAAGTAACTTCTCAAGTTTTTAATAGCTTACATATATGTGAGGATCCAAAGAAAAATTTTGAGTAATTTTTCTCTGAGCTTATAGCGAGTTTGCTTTTGCCTGGTAGGTGTAGGCAAATTGTTATATCACTTTAAATTCTTGTGTGGGCTGTTTTCTTCTCTTTTGAATTTTGAAGCTTATGCACAACTTATACTATATCACTTTTTCTTTGACAAATGATAGATTAGTGACAATCCAAACATTGTTATTCGGGAAGTCATCAGTCTCAAAACTTGTAGCTTCTATGTTAAATTGACTCATTCTGTTTTGAAACTAAAATTTTCGTAATTCTCAGTTTTTGGAATGAGGCATAGCGTTCCTTATTGACACACGCATAGCAGGGGAAATTACCTAACGTTTTGAAGTTTCTTGGAATAGTGGGTTTCAAGGACAAATTAGCTTCGTTCAAGCTCTGGTAGCTATCTTTATAGCTCATATTGATGATAAAATGAAGAACAATATGGTATTTAATTCTACTAGCGCTGCTGAAATTTTATCTAGACGGATTCCTATATTCTTCCAGATTTACTGTATAACTTCTTTTTATATTGCACGATTAATCACCAGAAACTTATGTCAAATTGACTAATTCTGTTTTGAAACTATTATTTTCTTAGGTCTCAGTTATTTGAATGAGGACATAAGTGTCAACATCCGTACAACTGTTACTGATGATAAAGTAAAAATTTGGAGTAATATGGTGTTTAGTTATACCAATGCTGCGCAAATTTTATCCAGACAGTGATTTCTATGTTCTCCCAGATTTACTGGATAATTTCATTTACATTGCACGAATATTCACTTGAATTCAATCAAGATTTGACTACTTAAAAAAGTCTTATAGAAAATACTTGCAGAAATTAAAAGAATCTGGGCTGAAATTTGGAATTTTAGCAAGATAAAATAAAAATTGAGAGAAATTTGATGGCAAAATACTAGGGAAACTTGATAATTGATGAAAGTTGGAAGAAAACAAACAAGATACAATAGATCTTCAATTCGAGAAGAAGATCCGGGTCTCTTAATGCCTAACAAGTAGCTAGAGACCAAGCAAACCCTAAGAGAAATACAAATTCAACCAAAATATAACATAACCCTAACTCTAGGATGAAGGAACTATTAAAAGCAAATAGTACAAAGTAAAAGGTCAAAATAGTCCATCTAATTCAAATTTCCCTCTCACCCGCTCCTCTCTCTCTCTTCCTTAATGTGTGCCCCACCCCAAGGGGCGGGCAAAGCCTCGGCCTGGTATAGACATAGACTGGTCCCTCCTGGGCCGATCTAACAAAGTCATCCTAATGCCTCAAGACCTGCAGCATTGATGTTAAATTAATATTATTCTTTTTGCCACTATAAATATCTCAGTTCTCAGTTTTTTTTTAATGTGGAAATAGTTCTCCTTATCTATTACTTATAATGCGGAGAATTGCCTATGGTGCTTGAATTTTTAGGAGTAGTAGCTTTCAAAGACATTTCAGCCATGCTTGGATTAAATTTCATAGATTTTCTTTATTTTTATGTATAATTTGCATGGCGTCTCATGTAGGATGGTGAAGTTTGGACGTTTAGTGTCAGAGCTTTAAAAGCACCTCTTCCAGAACGCACCATCAACGTGAATTATGATGGTTTTGCCGAAGGTATATTTTAGAAATTTTATACTCACACAAGTGGTTTGCTTTCTCTATCAGTAAAAGCTGATATATATATATATATATATATATATATTACTGTTTTGAATTTGTTTAATTGTGAAATAGATGTCAGAGTTGGTGATGAACTTCTCGTGGATGGTGGAATGGTCAGATTTGAGGTGATTGAAAAGCTTGGTCCTGATGTAAGGTGCAGATGCACCGATCCAGGATTATTATTGCCGAGGGCCAACATTACTTTCTGGCGAGATGGTAGCCTAGTACGGGAGCGCAATGCCATGCTTCCGACCATTTCCTCAAAGGTGAGTGTATCTTGTACTGTATATTTGATTAGCTATGCTGTCATTATTCCAATTTAATATTGATGATTTCTGATTTGAGAAGATATGAGCTGAAGAGTCAGATATATTTTTGCTAAAAACCTTTTTCAATAGTAAATATAAATTACAAATCCATCTTTAATGAATTTAGTTTCAATGTTACATTAAAACACGTATAAGCAAAGAATAGAGAAATTGTGTGATTAAACAAATTATGGTTTGGATTTCATTCTTTGTTTCTTATATCATACTATGCTAGCCATAGGGACATAGTAATATAAACTTTTTGAGCGATTGTGATGATTTTGAATTTCAAGGATGTTTAGCAAATTTTTATCTACTCACATATGTTCTCTTGTTTGTTCTATTACTCCTAGTGCTATTATATCTTTAAATGCAATACCTTAACTTCCACCTATTTATTAATTTTTCAAACTTTTTTTGTTATGATGGTCTATATATGTTATGTTAATTAGTTGATATATGAACCTAATCATGCATCTAAGAAAGAACGATAATAATATATGTTATGATGACTGGTTGCTATATGAACGTGATCGTGCACTTAAGATGAAGAGGAAAATGTTGGAAGGGGGAAAAAAGTTTGGATTTCATTCTCTGGTTGTCTTAACTTTCCACACTTGCCATTCGACATGAAGAATATAAGATTTTTGAGGTGTTTGTGATGATTTTAATGCTAGAACTGTTTTCAATTGATTATTTTTCACATGCTTTCTCTTTTTTGTTTTAGTTATTAGTGTGGTTATATTCACTAAATGCAATTCTTTAACTTCCACTTTTTGTTTTTTTTTGCTATATATTTTTCTGACTTTTTGATATATGAGAGCTGTCATACATCTAAGGATCATTTATTATATTTTACTTGGGAGTGTGCTCATTCTAACTTATGATTCATTTTTTTTCATCTCCTTGTGCAAGATTTTTTTTAATAAATTAAGTTTTTATTCAAGTCAACCTTGTATGTTTTCTCTTTGTGGGACTTCTGTCATTTGGTTCAAGTTTCATTAAGAATGAACCTTGTTATACTATAACTTCTCCATTTTTGAGGAAAAAAATATTAATTTTATTTTGGAAGGTGGATGGGGTTACAAAATGAGCAATAAGGTCACTTTTCATTGTTTAGAGTCTTATTTCTTCGCTAATTCAGGGAGGGATTGTCCTCATCTTTTACAATGAAAAAATTGTGACAATTGTTCATAGGCACCTCGGATGATTGGGCATTAAATTTAAATATCCTTTTTTGGTTCGAAATGCTGAGTTCCTTTTGTGGTTGAGAAAAAAATATGAAGAAAAGGCATCAGTGAAGGATTAGATTGGCTAAATTTACTTTTTATTGATAATGCAGAGATCCTACATAGTTTTGCATGGCGTTTCCTTCTCGTAACTTGATTTCTGTGACGCATGCCGGTAGAAGTTATGAATCGTGCAATTCTACATGTCCTCTTGTGTGAAAGTTTCCTTGCCTATTCAACTCACATGCTTCACTGGTTTTGGCTGTCCTTGCGTGCATATCTTGAGCTTTGCTATAGTTGTGACCCATGCTTTGGCTGCTTAACGCAATTTGCTAGTCTCACTCACAACCCAATGTCATATCTACCTTCTTCGTTGCCTTCGTTTCTCAATACCTGCTCCCCTCTTTAAACCCCACATCGGACAATAAATGAGAAGAGGAGATATCATGATTTACAACTAAAATATAGAGATGCTTCATTGCTTAGGTGAGCCATTTAAGCCTCAGAGTTTTGTTGATCTTTGATATAGCTGGGATGAAGACCTTCCTCTATTTGCTATCTATTTGATTTGGTAGGAGTTTCACATCCATCCATTGATCTAGGTTTAGGGAGTGCTTCCTTTCATCACTACTGATCAGGTCCAACTTGTTTAGTCGTTGTCTGTAAGCCACCAACAAGTGATGGATAGCATTGTTATTTGGATTTTTTTGCCGCTTTCTACATACTTGTAACTTATGGCCCATCGTTTAAGGCCCGTGCTTGCTATTGGCATCGTGTGAAAAACTGTCAATGATAAGAAGGGATCAGACCATTTGAATTTTCTTGTTTTAACAAGGACATTGACGATTAAAAATGATAACGGTTTTTTATTTCTTGTTAAATCCCATCCATCCCTTGGCCCTTAATCCTATGGCCAGCATGGGGATCCATGGATCTGGATCATGCTGATCTCCTTCTATATTTGGTTGGCTAATTTAGGAAGGATTATATTAAGACAAGTATGCATGATTCTGTCATTATTTGTTTCTTTATTAAGACATCTTGTATAGATCTATAAATAGGGATATTTTTGTATAATAAATTAAGTATTTTTTTCCTCTAATTCTCTAAATTTAACTTCGCATCAAAGCCAGATTTCACCACCGGCCTTCATCGATGGAATTTTGAGGAATGCATGTTCCCACCACCGGCCTTCATTGTTGGAATCATTGGGATATAATAATCGAAGGAAGCAGAGAGGATCAAGCAACCTTTATTGCCGTTGGAGATCGAATGAGAGTAGAGCGGTCCAATCCACTTATGCCCTCTGTTTCGTGCCTGTGGCCAGAAGAAGCGGAGACGAGTCTCTCGTGCGTCCGAGATTGAGGAGAGATTGAGCGGGAGGGCTCCTCTTGCATGCGTCTGGGGGGGATCAAGTGAAAACCCGCTCTTGCGTATGTGTGACTGCACAGGCCGAGCAATTGTGCGTCTGGACTATGGCTAGGGCCTCCTGGAAATGGCAACATTGAGCTCAGACTTTGTTCTTGCATGTGACGTCTAGAGTTCACCGAGCATAAGCGAGAGAAGTCAAGCGCAGGACCTCCTGCTGCATGCGTTTGAACGACAGTCAGTACCTCTTGAGAACGGTGACATTGGGCTCAGTCTTCGTCCCTATATGCGATCGAGAAAGGAGCAGCATTTATCTTAGCTGTCTGCTTTGTGCGTCTCTTCCTGGAAGTCGAGCGGAGAGGAGTGAGCAGGAATCCTCACACGTGCGAAGGAGGGCGAGCTTATGTGCGTGCATTCTTATCTATGCGGAAGCAGAACCGAGCTCCAGGAGGAGTCGTGCAGGAGTTTTTTTTTGTGTGTGTACCTGGGAAGAGCCTAACTCTTGGGTCGGTGGTCTTCTGCGCGTTTGTAAGGGACCGAGAGCTTGGATCCTTTATTTTCGTACACGTGGCCTCGCTCGTGCACATCTGTTCAAATGTCTCCTGATTAATGTTGGAGGATGGGGTCAAAGACATCGGGAATAAGCTGGCGTCTCCTTCATTCGATTTACAATAGCTTCTACTAATTGATAAAGCTGAAAATTTATTGTCAAGAATGGAGCAATCTCCATCTACTTCAATTTTGACTGATGTTCAGCCTGCTATGGAGGCTTTGATTGCCAAGGATCTTCTGGGGCACTCAGACATGGATGTGAAGGTTTCCACTACTGCATTTTGTCTTAGTGAAATAACAAGAATAACAGCCCCATATGCTCCATATGATGATGATATAATGAATGAGATATTTGGGCTAATTGTTGGAGCTTTCAAGAATTTGGATGAGATGTGAAGCCGTTCATTTTCGAAGAGAGTTTCAATACTTGAAACTATTGCAAAGGTCTGATCCCGTGTTTTGATGTTAGATCTTGATTGTGATGATTTGATATTGGAAATGTCCTAGCATTTTCTAAAAATAATAAGGTCAAAGAATTCTGATATTGTCTTCTCCTCAATGGAGACTATGATGACACTTGTTTTGGATGCGACTGAAAGTATTTTCTCACAGCTTCTTTCATGTTTGTTGGATGGTGTGAAAGTTGTTGAAAAGAATATTCTGCACACAACCAAGAAGTTAGTTGAGAAAGTGCTTGTTAAATGTTCCTTGAAGCTAAAGCCTTATTTGGCTAAATTATTTAATGCAATAGCTCTTTGTTAAGTGATTACAACAAAATTGTTGCTGCTGTATTTCAAGGGAAACCTGACACTTCAATACAGAATGAAATGAATGCTTCTAGTGAAAATCAGGAAGCTAACCATAAATTATCTAAGCGGTTTCTTTCTGATGACTCGCCTTAGGGATTTGCACAACTAGAAGGTGAAAATTTTCATCCTTTTTTTTAATTTTTTTTTTTTTGAAAATTTTCATCATGAAATATCTCTTACTGCTGCAGAAGGATCTTCCAAACCGGTGATGAATAATGGATATTTTTAGAATCAGAAGGGTGATTCCATGGCTGCAAAGCTAATGGTTGAATTTCATCATCATAGTGGTTAATCTAGAGTTAATATTGAACATAGCTTGGATTCGGGTACAACAAAGGCTGATAGAAGGTCCGATCTAAGTTCTCGTAAAGGAGAAAGAAACGCTTTATTGCAGTTGTCAATTAGCAATGATTATTATGGAGTTGGTAATAAGAAAACCTCAGAGTAATTCTGACAAAAAGTTTCCAAGTAATGGAGGTAGAAATGGATCTAAAAGAAAAGTTAGATTGAAGTAAATAATTAAAATTAAATGAAGTTCTCTCCTCTCAAAAGTTTACAGTGAAAGATTTGGTTAAATATCATAACCATATTAAAGATATCGGTTAAACAAAATTAAGATGGAAGTGTGCTTAGGGCATACAAGAGGCTTATTGAACCACATAATCATAGGAAATAATGCTTGGATGACACAATTGTTGGTCCAAAGATAAAAAATTTGGTGGATAGATGGTCATAGGTTTTATGATAACATTGTTGATTCTTTTGATCAAAGTACAAGAATGCATAAAATTTTGTATGATAGTGATGTAGATGTGCTGCTTCTAAAAAAAGAGCAGTGAGAGTTTATTGAAGGTGAAACCAAGATGCATGGGGTGCAGGAAAATGATTAAACTGATGCTGGAGACACTCTTACCAAGGGACTTGATAACTCTACCTTTTTGGGGCTGAGTATCAAGTTGTGAATGAAAGATCCGTATTCACCAGCTTGAGGGGGAGTGTTAAATCCAAGCCATCCCTTGGCCCTTGATCGCACGGTCAACATGGGGATCCATGGTAGGCTCACCTGGATGGGTGGCTGATTTAGGAAGGAATATATTAAGGCAATTATGCATGATTCTGTATATATTTGTTTCTTTATGAAGACATTTTATTTAGATCTATAAATAGGGATAGTTTTGTACAATAAAATTAAGCTTTTTCCCTCTCCAATTCTCTAAATTTAACGATTCCAAATTCAGTGATGTAGATTATTGGATTCAAAATGATGTGATAGCATTGCTCTATCAAAAGAATGTGAAAGTAAAAAGAAAAAAAAAAAAAACTATATATGATGATGTAGACTGGTTAAACCCTCAAATATCATCATCCTCAGCGTTAGTGGTTGTTCGTACTCTTTTATATTCGCTGTATGTGACAATTGGTCTATATTTGCTGTATGTGTCTATTGGTTTAGGCAGCACATTGGTAATAGTATTAGATCTAGCTTGACAAATCCCTCACGAGACTACAATCGATTTCTTCATGTCCCTGCAACATTCAACACTATTTGTGTTGGTTATTGATCTTCATGTGTATGCAACATTGAACACTCTTTGCGTTGGATGGACAAATACCTCATGAGATTTCATTTCTATGCAACATTCAACACTCTTTGCGTTGGATGTAGAATGGAAAATAAAATGTTTTATCAAGCTTGTTCATCTACTGTTTAGTTGGAGGCTTTTCCCTTAATTTATTTTTACCCATGAATCAACTTAAAAGCTTCCCTCCAACTTATTATTAATTAGGGAAGGAAAAATTGTTCGATGAGGAATTGAAATCAAGAGTTAATTCTTTTCCTATGAAAGACTTCCATTAGTATATGTATGATTCAGATGCCAAAAACGACTCTTAAAATAGTTGAACATTACAAATATCATTGGCTACAATTATTTACTCATTTTTGCACATGAAAAAGTCACCTTTTGAAGCATATTTCTGAAGTGCCCTGTGAGTTTCTTTTAAGCATCTCACAAACAATTAAATGTCTTTAAGCCTATGGGGTTACTTGCTTTATATAACCTAAAAAAAGCTGAAGATGGAAGAGATTAATTTCAATCATGCTGAAAGTTGGCGGTACAATTTTGATCATTTTTACTTTGTGAAATGCCAAAGTTCATGAAAAGCCATTGTGATTACTGTTGGAAGCTTCTCTTGCAGCCTTTCCTAAGTTCGGCCATTTGGTTTGCCCTCCAATACAAGGACTGCCCATTGCTGTGGTCCCCACGGAATAATCTCTTCCAAAATTAGATCTCTTCTCCTCACAACCAATCAAATTTTGTTAATTCAGAACACAAGGATTAGAGGATTGATGTTGTTGGATTGCTGTCCATGTCGCATGGATTCACACTACAACAGCTAACCCCTATGGGGTGTTTTGTTTCCTATTTTGAATGTAATTGACTGTGTTTTGATCTTTTTTGTTACCAATGACCTTTTTTATAGTATGTATAGCCCCCCCTACTTTTTTATAAACATACAACAACAAAAATTGCAGCAGTTTTCACCTCTTTTTTTCTCATCTTTTTCATTCTTTATGATTTTAGATTCGAAAAATGATCCCTAGGCTGTCATCCTTCTTATCCTAGGTTGCCGTTTGACTCTTCGTTACTCCCCTGAAAATGTCTAAAGTTAAATCAACTCCTCTACCTTTGAATGCACATCAGAGGGAGAGAAAAGGTCGGATGTATCACTAGAGACACAAAGATGCCTGATATTAAGAACTCAATCTGTGTCGATTGGGATGCAGAGAACTCTATGCTTATGACATGGGTGCTATGTTGCACCGATACACCTATTTATGAAGGCTTGCTGTATCCGATACACCGATACACGGATACGCCTCCGGTGCAACATAGCATGGGTGGTTTACTCTATGACTGAGGAGATGAGTTCAAAATATCTTTGTTATCCATTCCCAGAAGGTTGTGGCATAATGTCTTATAGATGTACTCTGACTTGGGGAATCAATCCCAAGTATATGAGTTAGCACATTAATTTGAGGAGACTCATCAAGGTGAGGGTTATGTGATAAAATATTTCAATTCTCTTAAAAGAATTTGGCAAGATTTGAGTTTATTAAATAGTTACGAGTAGAAATTGCCCGAGGATTGCAATTACTATAAAAAGATGGTAGACAGTGGTTGCATCTTTAAGGTTTTTACAGGCTTAAACATTTGAGTATGATGAAGTTCGTGGTCGAATCATTGGAAGAAATACCCTCTCATAAATTAGGGAAACCTTCACGGTGTGAAGAGAAGAAAGCCATAGAAAAATGATGCTTGAAGAAAAGAATCAGTGGGATTTCTAATTCAGCTTAAGGCTCTGCATTGGCTATTCCTTAAACACAACTTAGCTGTAGGATACATCCAAATCAACACAATGGATATAAGAATAACTTACACTGTGACTACTGTGTGAAATCTCTTTCAGACATTAATCTTCTTACCGGTGCTTTCAAAATTTTCATTGATTTCCTAGTTGATAAACTGGAAGACTTTATACCCATGCTGGTTGATACTTCTCAAGGGTTTTTCATTTATGATGTACCATGGGCTATTGCCAATCCATGAAATTATTCATCATGTTCTTAGGTTCAAGCAATAAAAGTTCATCTTCAAAGTAAATTTTGAAAAGGCTTCTGATGACTGTGATTGAAATTTTATTTTCATGTATTTACAATATGAGTGATTATCCCTATGATTGAAGACCACTCCATCAATTGTGCATTAAAAACACCATTGTTCATGGTGATCTCAAAGAGGTTTTACATTATTCTTTCACCTTCTTTTCCTCCTTTTCTTTGGATGTTTGTAAATTGAAGCGCTCTCTATTCATCTTTATCTCTTTACAAGACATCTAGTGATATTATTCTTCTCTTGATTTATGTTCATGATATTGTTGTCACTGAGACAAGTTTGGCATTGATTATTGATGTGCAACAACATATAATACATACGATCTAATTATATTGGCAGGCCTTCAAAATGCTTCTCTTTTAGATATTCCATTTGAAGTAACAAAAAATATTCTAGTGAAGAGAGATATCTTCTCCATGATCCTATTATCTTTTGATAATTGTTAGGCGTCTTGAACTTGTTAACTATTACTAAACCTTATATTTCATTTATCATTCATCAGGTTAATCAATTTTTACGAACTCCCTGTCATTCAAATTTATTTGTTGTTGGTTGGATCATTCCATACCTTAGTGGAATACTTAGGCGCATATTGTTCTTTCCATTGGATATTCTTTTCCTACTGTGGCTTATAGTGATGTTTTTGGGCCGGGTGTCCTGATATTTGACTGTTTAGCACATGTTGTTGCATGTTTCTTGGTGACATTTTGATTTCATGGAAGAGCAAGTAGCAATCTGTTGTGTCTAAATCCTCAACTGAGTCTGATTATCATGTAATCCCTGTTGCCTATTTTGAGATTATCTAGCTTTTTGAACTTTTATTTGAACTTATTTTTTTTAGAATAATGCCACTATTCTCTATGTGGACTATATTAGTGATATTTAAATTGCCGCTAGTACTATTTAGCATGAGTACATAAAGCATATTGAAATGGACTGACAATTGATTCAGGAAGCTTTAGACATGCGTATAATTTTTTGTTCCTCATATTTCTGCTAGCCTTCAGACTGTTGACATTTACAATTGACATGATATTATCATCAATTTCTTGCGGGCAAATTGATGTCTTTTGAATAAGCAACATCAATTTGAGGAGTTTAAATAACATTACACATTATATAACAGAATTAGCCATTATTTCTTTGGGATTCTTGTATTATTGTTGTAAATCTTGCGTAATCACTACTGTAGAATATTTATAATTAAATAGTGTAATTGTAAATATTTTTATTATGGAATAACTGTAAGTTCCTTATTGCTGTAATTGTTGAAATTCAGCCTTGTAACATGCCAACAAATTTCTATATAATGGTAAGAGTCTCAAAACAATGGCAATTAATCTAATTGATATTTTTGACCTATTTTAGATTTATAAAATGACAACATCATAATTCAAAGTCAAATTCATAATGTCATATATATTGCATTCTTTGTGTCTATAAAAGAGTATTATAGAAAATTCTATGGGAAAATGAACTTTGAAATCCATGCTAATATTTGATTTGACATGATATTCTACTCGTTTCAAATATAAATCTTTAGTAGGATTATTATGCATTCGAGTTACATGCTTTGAAATATATCCAGGATTGGTTGGACATAGATTTTGGGATTGCCGAGGGTGTAGATTTCATTGCAGTCTCTTTTGTGAAGTCTGCAGAGGTTATTAATCATCTGAAAAGCTACATAGCTGCACGATGCCGTGACAGGTAAATATATTTGATAACAAGCGGGTAAACTGCAGCAAAATCATCCTTTTTTACCTTTTTCATCTTTGGATATATAGGAAAAGAACTATATTTCAGAAGTTTATGGATAAATTTTATGTTAAACATACTAGTAGTCTCTCATGTATGGCAACTCACTAATTCCTCTAGGTATTTGTAACCTCTAGTCTCGTTGAATGACTTTGTTTCTATTTAAATATTTAAATCAAGAGACAATAGTTGTAGCAAGACGTTTTATTTCCGCTAATTCCAAACTAAAGCAGAATTGAGTCAAAGCAAAATTAAAATACATAATTAAACAATTGGAAGATTTTGATGAAGACTAGTTTAAAATTAAATAATCCCAAACCAGATGCCTATTATTTTGATTAAGACTAGTTTAAAAAATTTAGGAATCTGGTTTCGGAAAATTTTATTTTATTTTTATGTCTCAGCACCTTTTATACTGCAACCTGCTTTAATGTAAACTTGCCAACATTTTGTTATCATATGCTCTGTTGAAATGATCTATCTGATGTTATCAAAGACCATCTCAGATTTTTGTCTGTCAATTAAATTCTATGGAAGCTAACACTTCATTTTCGTTATTAGCAGAGAGATTTCAGTGGTTGCAAAGATTGAAAGCATTGATTCTTTAAAAAATTTGGAAGAGATTGTCCTTGCTTCAGATGGAGCTATGGTGGCTAGAGGAGACTTGGGTGCACAGATTCCTCTGGAGCAAGTGCCCTCGGTTCAGCATACGGTAGTTAAAATCTGCAGGCAACTTAACAGACCGGTCATTGTTGCCTCTCAGCTACTTGAATCCATGATTGAGTACCCAACTCCAACTAGAGCTGAGGTTGCTGATGTTTCAGAGGCAGTTAGGCAGAGAGCAGATGCTCTAATGCTATCTGGTGAGTCAGCCATGGGGCAATTCCCTGATAAGGCTTTGACTGTGCTGAGAAGTGTGAGCCTAAGAATAGAAAGGTGGTGGAGAGAGGAGAAACGCTATGAAGCTATGGAGCTCCCTGATGTTGCTTCTTCTTTTTCTGACAAAATTTCTGAAGAAATCTGCAATTCCGCTGCGAAAATGGGTAAGCATTGTTTGCACTTTTGATTCCTTGGACACCTATTCTTTGGACAAATTTTGCTCTGAGATTATTTAGTCTGTCTTTGTTATTGAGTGCAGCGAACAATCTGGGAGTTGATGCCGTCTTCGTGTACACAAAAACAGGGCAGATGGCCTCTCTTCTTTCTCGCTGCCGCCCCGACTGCCCAATCTTTGCTTTCACGACTTCAACCTCTTTGAGAAGACGCCTAAACCTGCAATGGGGTTTAATACCTTTCCGTCTGAGCTTCTCCGATGATATGGAGACCAATCTCAACAAAACTTTCTCACTGCTGAAGCAAAGGGGTATGATCCAGTCTGGAGATTTGGTCATTGCTCTTTCTGATATGTTGCAGTCCATACAGGTAATCAATGTTCCTTAGTGCTTCTGTAATATTTTTGCAACTATTTATGAACATAATAATTTCTTCTCACTTGCTTATATTTATGTATTGTAATAGGATGATTGTCTTTTTTTATTTTTATTTTTATGAACTAGGGTTTTATAACCTGTTTATGCTATATTTTGTTCTTCATAGGATGGTCGTCTACCGCCAATAATATTGCTACTCATCACAACTTTTTTGGTATTTTACATTATATTTATTTTATTTCAAATTAAATAAAAGTTATTCTGATCCATACTTTTTACAATTATCCAAACAACTCTATAAAGTATTTCTTTTACTCGGTCTTTTTTCAAGCAACCAAACATGATTAATTATTCTGTGCGGTCACCGGACGGTGTCCGTATATAAATGAGAGTGCGTCAAGCCATTTTTTTTGTTATGTACTGCTTGGTACTGGATGATGTGGTGCGGTCTCATTTGTCTCTGGACGCCTATAAGCTCAATGCTTGTTGTTGACTCTAACTTATCCCTCAATGTTAACACCAAGATTAATAATGGATTTCTTAATATCTAATTTTTGCTCTCAAAGGATAATGAATGAATATACTATAATGATATCTTAAAGACAACTTTAATGCTTCAAAGCTTCTCTAACGTTTACCTTGGAATCGATCCTCCACAGTTCAAATGCACTACAATGTATCAATGCCTTCTTTGATTATAATGAAGGGCATCATTTTTAACATATGACTTACACTAATTGAAATATCTCAACTAGTCCAAGTCATATGATTTTCTCTTTTGGATTTTCATGTAAAAATTGAACCAGGCTAGTCGGTTCAACCGCAACCAGGCCACAAGTACAGTAGAGTCTGAAAACCTTCTATGCATAGAACCAATTCAATTGACATACTTCTTAAATAATTAAAATTAAATAAATGATGTTATTAAATATTAAATAATTTTATTTAATAAATAAATGAATTATAATAAATATTTTATATATTTTAACCAAATCATCATAAATCATGTAAAATATATTTTATAAACCTATGTCTCAAGAAATTTTGGAACTAGAATTGTTTATACTAAAAAATTACTTTAGAAAGCAATAAAAAAGTTATCCCATATGAAATCTTAGGCTTCGTTTAGAACAGCTTCTTATAATTTTTTATAATCTAAAAATTATCAAAAATAAGAAAAAAAATAGTGGTTAAAAGTGTTCCAAAGAAATCTTATACTATCTAGACTTCAAATCAGCAAGAAACAGTGAAAGACTGACCAATAAAAAAAAAAAACAAATCTGATATCTCATTAGCATCCAATAAAGATGTGTCAAAAATATTTGAATGCTGACCAGCTTCATAATTAACTAAAATGTACTGAAACTTACTATCCGAGGGCTTTAAAAATAAATAAATAAAATTAATTTCAGCCATTAAAAGTCAGTTACAATATTATTATATGTTATATTTCATACAAAATATAACCTTGAAGCACTAATTTCTTATATATTATACATTGATTATAACATGCAAAGAATAATATGCATTTCTAAAGGTTTTTTCTTTGAAACAATAAATTTATTATAAATGTTAAATTAAGCTTTCAACAACAGTACTGCTTATTAAATCCAAAATGTTTAGTATTAGTGAAACTCTAATTTTTTTTAAACATAGAGTTTATTTGATTAGGCATATATAATTTTTTTCTAATTTTCAATCACAATTTTATACAAAATATTTCATAAGTCATAATGATTTATCTTGTCATTAAGAAAAAAAACTACTAAATGTTATAATAATGATGTGATAATAATATTTTTATAAATCTGATATATAATATTCTAAGTTAGAATACTCACTGTTGAATGCTGAATTTGATTTAAATTAAATATTTTAGGAGCTAATATTTTGATTATTTTCTCTATATAAAGAGATGCACTGATGAAAATTCTTACAAAAATTTATGATGTACTTCCGCTAGATTTGAAAGTCGATGACAAACAAAATTAGAAGAAAATTTACAAACTTTTCTTCTTATATTTTTAAGACATTTATATAGATTTAAAAAGTAGTTTTTTTAATCTAAACTTCTATTTCTAGTCATTTAATCAAAATAAAAAATCATAAATTGGTCAATATTATAATTGATGGTTCATCAAAAACAAAATGAGTTCATCGGTTTTTCGGTTTCACGCTCGTTTTGATAGATACCGAATGATTTTCGTAAAAGAGGTTTTGAAACTAAATTGAACTAGTAGAAGGATTGACTCCCAATTGAATATATTGGATCGGTCGGTTTGATCTGATTTTAAAAATCATGATAGAAAGTAAATGACGAGTGTTAAAAAATTCAGTAAATAATTTTCTTCAAATGGCATAAGCTTGTTTTGACACAACATATCCTTCAAGAAATCAAACAAAAAAGTTAAATAAAAAAAATGGATAACAACATATTTACCTTTTAGTGCTAACTAATTGTCATCAAACCGTGATTTTAAGCGCTCTTACATATGTATGTGGAAACGCCTCATCAATTTCACAACTTTCTCCAAAAGAACCTGACATATTTCTTCCATTTACTTTTACGTCAAACACCTCATCAACTAGATTGACCCAATGCCTGATTTTGGGTCCAATGGATTTGTTTGGATATTTAGGGTTTGATAGGTGTGGTCTCAAGGTCTGGAAAGGTCATTTGGGTCAAATGAAATGTTTGGGTCCTTAATGGGTCATTGGGTCAACCTAGGTTAGACCTGGTCAACCAGGTTGACCTAGGGGCTAGGTTTGGTATCAACAAATTTGAAATGACATTTTAAATGTGTTGGGAGTGGTCCAAGGCATGGGAAAGTCATTTCAATCAAAATGACTATTTTGACCCTTAAGGGACCTTTAGGTCAACCTAGGTTGATCTGGTCAACCAAATTGACCCAGGGTCTAAGATTGGGTCTAATAGGTCCCAAGTGATGTTTGGGGTCAATTGAAAATGGTTTCAAAGGTTGATGAGATTGAGCCATGTTGGATTTTGGTCAAAAGTCCAAAAATCTCCTTAAAGGACATTATGGTCATTTTGACCTATGGTCACTTTAAAGAAAGGTTCCCTCCTCATTCGCACCACGTTAATGCAGTCTGAATCACATCCATAATATAACCTAGAGAGATACGTTTGACGTTGAATATTTCGCTAAGGATTAGATCTTTTTCTCTCCCTTCATATCTGATGCAGTAAAGTGAATATAATGCTCAATGCTACATCAATCACTGTATAAACAACTGAATGATCTTGACTTTGTTCTGCACCTGCAACATTTCAATGCTCATTCAAAGTAGATAATTGTGCTTCCGGATCTTCCAATCGGTCATCCCATCTTTATAGTAACCAATATTAAACCTGTTAGATTATCTATAAGATGCCTGTATTCTTTTACCACCTAAGTTCGTTGAATAAAGTGCTTAATTCAGAAACTCAGTGTTGCAACAAATTAGTCAAAGAAAAGAAGTCAGTGCTAGCAATAGAAAGATCAAGTCAAGTGAAAATCATCATCTCTCTTTGACGATGGGAAAAAAGAGAACAATTGTAATTTCATTCAGACAAATCATAGTCATTAGGGGCTGTTTGATTGCAAGATTGAGCCACAATTTAGGCTAAATCTTGAAATTAACTATAAAACAATTATCAATATTTACTCAGATTCAACAGCTATCTATGGAAAAATTTTCTTGGGATACTGAAATTTATAGAGCAATAATATGAACAGCATAAATGGATAAAAAATAAATGAAAAGTTAGGCTAAATTCCTATCAAAGAACAAAAAAATGGATGAAAAGAACTTCTAAGTTGATGCCACCAGATCATTTACCACAAAAAGACAAATCAAAATTTAGATTGGAATAAAATGTGAATTGAAATTGGGAGGAAAGATACCTGGGTCGCGGGCGCGACTAATGAGAGCTATGAAATACGAGGTCCGTGAAATACCTAGGTGTGACCTACAATGCAACACCGAAGAAGAGTCACGGGCGAAACCCTTACAGGCTACGAAAAACATCAACATGCGATCAATTTTGCGGAAGGGATGACAAGATGAATTTTGCGAGGGGAAGGAGGATGCTGTAAGGGCCAGACGATTGGGGGGTTTTGCTCCTTTTCGTGCCAGAGAAGAAGCCGTGTATTTGAAAATCATTCAATTTGGGCGGGTTTCAAATACACCACAGAATGAATTCGAAATGCTTTACATTTTTACTGTACATTTACTTCACACTAAACCAAACGCCGAAATTTGAGAAACGCACGTGTTTATTTCATAGTAAATGCTAAATACAGGAAACCAAACAGCCCCTATATAAAAAGTACGCAATCCCAGGGACTTGAATGAAAAGAAGCTATTGCGTGATAAAACAGCTCACAAGCTAGAATCCATTACAATTACCTAGTATAGGGTGCCTTGAATTGACAAACGAGTTCAGAAAAAAAATTGATGGTGATCACCACTACAAATTTACCAGTAACACTTGCTGTTTATCAGCCCAGGAAAAATTCATTACAATTATCCAGTATGAACAACTAACTTGATGACAGTAAGTTCTGAAAAAGTTGTTCTTGACCACCAATTACAAATTTGCCTTCATGATTTCCTGTTTATCTTCCCAGCAGGCGACGAGTTCTTGCGTTTGCTCCTTGCACTCTGTAGTTTAATTCCTGTACATCATCTTGCATGTGATCCAGAGCCTTATTCTGCCTGAAAGCACCCAAAAAAACATCGTAAGATTCAGATAACACAAAGTGATAGATAATAACTACTGATAAAGCAGACGCATATGTTAAAAAAGGAAACAATGAACAAATTTACCTTTCAATTTCAGATCCCATGTCTAATGCCATTGATTTGAGCTCGCCCAATACGTTGCTCAAATCTGAAAGTGCATCTTCTTGCTTTGCCTTCTCCATCTGTTTAACGAAAAAGGGTAGTAAGTATAAATGAAATACCAGTTTAAGGGGCTGTTTGGTTTGAAGTAAAGTTGGTGTAAAGTAAACCATTTATATAGGGGTTTTGAAAAAAATTGATATTTGGTTGGATCAAAAAAAGAATGCAAAAATAAAATGAATGTGATGTAAAGCGTTTTAGTTCATTTTTCAAGTAAAACAAACTCGCTCAATTTTGAACAAAATCATTTTCACCACAAGAAAGCACTTTGCCACCGCCGCAGCCGATCACCACCAGTAGCTGAGAGCCGGCCACCACCTTCCGCTGAGCGCCGACCACCACCTTCCGCCAGTCGCTGCTACAACTGTTGGTTGCCACCGATTGCCGACCACCACAAACCACCCGCAATCAGCCGCCAATTGCCACCACCACCAGCCTTCCACCAGCGCCTCCACCCGTTGCCACTAGCAACCAGCCACCACTGACACAATACATTGACCACCATTGGCACCACCTACTCGCTGCTACAACTTTTGGTTGCACCGACTGCCGACCACCACCAACCACCCACAATCAGCCGCCAGTTGCCACCACCACCAGCCTTCCACCAGCGCCTCCACCCGTCGCCACTAGCAACCAGCCACCACTGACACAATACATTGACCACCATTGGCGCCACCTATCAGCTGGTCAACACTATCTTTAAACTTTACATCACATTCATTTTACTTCAAACCAAAAAAAAAAAAAAAAAATCACATGTATTATTTTATACTCATCCAAACAACTCAAAAATATTTCTTTTAAACTGCATTCCTCTTACATTGTATTCCTTTTTCCACCAACCAAACAACCTCTAAAGCACTTCATTCTACAAATTATTTAAACTTACCTCAACCCTTTGTAAGGTATCTGAAGGTTCATCCCTGAATTCACGAGGATTTGATCGGGACCGAGGAGAATCTAGTCCAAGTTTTTGTCTCTGCTCCATGTGATTGCCCCTTCTAATGAAAGAATCATCTGGAAAAGCTAGACACGTTAGAGAAAAATGGCCTTCAACAAATGGGAATCAAATCATCAAAATTGCATTCTGTAATTACCTCTTGAAAGTGTAGGTCCTTTTATTTCACGGGTTTTCTTCGGTTTCCACGTTTTAGAGAAGAGGCCACCCAAACTTCCGAGGAGCTTTTCTCCCTGAAATAACAGGTACATGATTAAAGATGATTCGTTTCCATACAAAAATTATCCGTTTGTAATTCTACTGCAAAAAAAAAAAAAATCCCAAGATCTCTTAGTGTAGGCCAGACATATTAGATTTATAGACTGGAAAACCTTTCCATGAAATAAGTATACTATTATTTAGATAAGGAAATATCAAGAAAGATTCCCGATGAATATTTGATTAAGTTCAAGAGAAAGGATTTTTTTTTCTTCCATGAATTTGAAACAATGAAAGAAAAATATACAAGATTTAATTTTTTAGTTTTAATCCTATCAAAATTTACTAAATCTAAATATACAAGATTTATTAAATCTAAATATACAAGATTTAAACAGGCCCTACAAATCATGTCAAAGCATGAAAAGAGTTGCATCCATCAGAAAACAAAGAAACATATATTTCAACACAAACAACTCCAGGCACAACAGAAAAGTCTTTTGAGTTAAAAAGTTAACAACTTAACATACCCTACTAAGATCTTGATCAATGCTAGTTGCAGTTGAGTGAGTTCGTGCTATCTGTTCACCCTGCTGGTGAAGACTCACAAGAGTCTTTGAGGAAACTTCTCTGATCTCTTCAGCAACCTTCAGAGACGCCTTTATTTTATGTGTGGTTTCTTCTGCTTCGTGTACAGCATACTTCTCCAGTTCCTGAACTGACTGGTTCTCAAAACCATTCGATTCATTTATTTCATTCTTGTACCTATTAGTCCCAGCAGAAAATGGGGAATCTGAAGCTGATGAAGTTACCCTCCCTTTATAACCACTATAATTAGATTGTTGACCTCTGTGATTTGACTGGTTCGTCGCAGGAGCAGACAAAGCCCTTGTAGATGTAGTGCTTTGTTCCGTGTCGGAATCAGAGTCGAAAGGATTAGGTGTCTTTCTGCCTGAAAAGCCAGATCCTTCATTGATCTTCCCATACACCTTGGGATTAGGAGTCTTTGATGCACTAACTCTAGACATGTTGACTAGATAATGTTTTATATGCTCCTGCTAGACAGCAAATGCCAACAATTTTGTCTGCGTAAGAAAAAAAAAATTGATTTCAGTGTTAGAATATGAGATGCAATGAAATGTTTACACAAAGTAGACATAGAACAAGAGTATTCCAAACAACCAAAAATATCACATTCAGATAGATAAACGCTTAACATAAGAAGGTTCTAGATAGAAAGGAGTTAAAAAAAAAATAAAGAAAAAAAATGAAAAATCACGAAGAAACTTTCAAAAGAAAGACAAATTGAATTAAATACATTAAAATAACTCTGAAAGGTGCTAATTCTTGATTAGAGTGATAAGAAACAACATAAGAAAATCAGCATTTTGGCTACACCTTAACCAAACACAAATAAACTGCAATGAAAGTTCAACAAAAGGCAGAAGTTATAAAATGTAAATGAAAGAACCTTTTAAAATGTATAAAATAAAACAAGATTAGAAACAATCATTCACCAAAGTGCGATAAAAGATTGCTTAGATACCAGTGTCAATAACCTGTGTGATATAGAAGACATTGTCTTTTAAAAGTGTGTTGTGAATAGAATAAGGCATGCGCCAATCATTAAGCTACTATAATACAGGATTGTTTAAAGACACCAGTGGCCATTACAGGTGAAATGTATAGTTGTTTGGCTACAAGTAGAATTCCGTAAATCCTGTAAATGCAAATTTAGTAAATCTTGAGAGTATTAAAACCTGCAAACTATTAAATCTTAATAAACTGTTTAAATATTTGTTTTAAGATTTAATATTTGTGAGGGGAGAAATCTTTAAATCAGTTAAATCTTGTGAATTGTGGGATTAAGAAAATCCTATATGCAATTTATAACAGATTGACCAAAACAATAAGATTTGAAGTACCAAGTGTTAAAATCCACCCTAAAATAAGATACGAAATAGGCAAACTCTCTTAAAGATGTATTGATGCAATCTCCATAGTATGATAGATAGATATATAGATAGATAGATACACACACACAAAGATTGGATACTGCAGAGTTACCAGGAGTAGAATATGGAAGTAGCAGCAAGAACAACAAGGGCTGTTTGGTATCCTATTTTGGCAGGGTTTAAACAATGTTTACCTTATATTATGTCAAACAAAATTTTGGACACTTTAAATTCAGGATTTATTAAATCCCACCATTCATATTCAAACAAACGGATTTAGGCATATATCCTCCCACAAATCTAGATTCTGAAACAAATAACCAACAATTCAATATTTAGCAATCGTCATGCCAAACGGTTTTCAGATTTTAATCCTCTAAGGATTTACTGAATGTGGATTTAACCCCAGAGAAATAACTATCAAATCACCAGCCATCACTAAAGCAGATTAAAAAAAAAAATTAAAAACAATCAAACCTAACATAAAAGCTGTCCAGGGTTTCAACATAGTTAACTGCGACAAGCATCGCAAAATTAGCAAAAATTTCTCAATCAAAAGATAATACTCAAATTATCAGATAGATTATCCTCGGAGAACTCAAAGAACATAAAAACCTAAACAAAGGCGATCCTTTCCACCTGATTCGAACAAAATCACACCCGTAAACCCTAAAATCGAATGTGAAATCAAGAAAACCTAAGCCCCTGCTCCAATCCAAGACACAAAGAAATAGATTAAAAAACTTTTCTATAAAAAAAAATGCAGAGAGGAAACAAAAAAAGGAATCACCTGAAAACTCCAAAAGATCTTACAATCTCAAGAGCCGGAACCATGAAATAAGAAGCGACCGCCCAATCGTTCAAAGCTAGGAACTTTCAAAACGCGCTCCTGCTGGGAGAAGAGGATTCGAGGAAAAATAACTCCGTCAACTACTTCGAGTATAATTAATCGAACAGATCAAAGAACGGAAATGGAACGGTGGTGGGTAAACTATTTCTTGGCAAGAAATTGGACCGTTGGAACTTGGAAGGAATCTGCTGCTTCACGCGGTACGACTTTGATCGCAACCGTTCATTTTGGTTGTCAGATGGACGATATAGATTATTGTTAGGTCCTTTTCAGCATTGAACGTCTAGAATGACTCGTTGTGCATAATTAACTAAATAAAATATGTATTACACATTTCTTAAACCAAGTTAATAATTCAAAAAAGAAAAAAAAATTATATATTTTTTATGGCTTATCATTTTCGACTAATTAAGATAAAGTTCATTAATGATATGATTTAAACCCGTAGATAAAGTTTTCACGCATTAATTCATATTATATATAAGTATAATCTAAAAAATATTTATAAATTTATTCTACTTTTTCAACCAAATTACACCTTTGTATGATATGATTGACACATCCCCAAAAAATATCTTCATAGGGCACGAATCTCAAGGAAAATCAAATTGGAAACTTTTGAAATTAAAATTGTGACCATTCCAACTCTGATTTCAGTAAAATTACAGTCGAACTGAACGTCTCAGAAATACGAATCCAACGACATCAAATTCGACTCAATCCGAGCCAAAATGGGTCCAAATCAAGGGCACGAAGCTGAAGGGTTCAAACCACAATTTGGATTATCAAATAGGTTTACAAACGTGACATGTTTATAGTCGAATCGAGCGGCTCGATGAGACAAATCCAATGAGCCCAAGATCATAGAATTCCGACATCATTAAGACCTTCAAATGTCTAGCGAATGGTTCATTATCAAGGGACAAATAGTCCATTATCAAGGAATTCAACATCAGCCGTCCATCCAAACCACTTCCCATTTACCTTTGATCCTCCTCCTATTTATAGGCCATGCCACTATAAATAGACCCTCCTTCTTCTTGAAAAGGGACCCTTAAGCCTAAGGAGAAAATAGAGAGATCGAAGAATTCTCTTATCTCATTGCCTCCTCGACCACCGCCGGAGCACCACCTGACGCCCGAGGTTCCGCCAGAGCACCACTTAACACCCTGAGCTCCGCCGGACCACCACCTGATGCCCTGAGCATTGCCGAACCACCACCTGATACCCTGAGCTCCGCCAAACCACCACCTAACACTTGGAGTTCCACCGGACCACCACCTGATGCCCTTAGCTCCGTTGGACCACCACTTGACGTCTTGAGCTCCGCCAGACCACATCTAATATTTGGAGTTCCATCGGGCCTCTACCTGACGCCCTTAGTTACGTCGAACCACCACATGATGCATGGAGTTCCATCGGACCACCACCTAATGCCTGGAGTTCCTCCAGATCACCACCTGATGCCTGGAGTCCCGCCAGACAACCACCTGACCCTAAGAGTTCTATCGGAACACTGCCCGACGCCAGAGTTTCTATCGAACCATCGCCCGACACCAAAATTCTGCCAAACCACCGCCAGACTACCAACTAAAGCCCGAATCTTCAAGTAACACCAAACTTCCGCTAGTCCACTAAGTGACGTTGGACTTTCATCCCTGTTTATCACTAGATTTCAACCATATAGTTGGAATTTGTAATCTGATCGCCTTCAGGGATGAGTCGGCCCTATGTAATCTACTTGAATTCTAGTGAAATCATTTTCAACTAGGCCAGGCCTCATGATTTTCCCCTTTCCAGAGTTTTTCGCATAAAAATCTTGTGTTCTCTATGTGTGAGCCGGATATCCGTACAATGCTAAGACGTAGGATAATAACTCTATCGTCGTGTATATTCTAACCCACAAAAGTTTAGCAGAGTTTATGGGAAGACTTCAATCCCACTATCCTAAGCACCACTTCAATGGCTAACAGGCACAACCATTGCATCTTAGGAGCATCCCGCTTAAAATTACACCAATTCAGGAATCCTTCCATAAACCAGGGATGCCAGGCATCTACCTGTTTTCACCCGGTGGGCGAAACCCTACTAGAGAAGGGAAATCAGGAACCTTTCTAGAAGATTGTATTAAAAAGATGGAGGAATCTCAGAATGAGTTCCTTCAACTCCTGCGAGAGACTCGGGGATCAATGTTAGCACCACAAGAAGAGATTCTTCTCCCTTGAGATCCACTAGGGCTCAAAGATGTTTAACCTAAACATCTTCATGTCAAGATTCCCCTTCCATCGCCAAGGATGCACCCTCCGACACATCAAGACAATAAGCTTGCTGACACAGTAAGCTATACCCATCCTTCATTCATAGCTCGCCAACCTCGCATTCCTCCGGACGTACCCAAGGACTTAGCCCATCAACACATTGCTAAACTCCCCCGTAATGCCTTACAACATGAACTGTGAAGACTAGTCTAGAGAGTTCCTCGTAGGAGGTATAAGACAATATCTTCGTCAACAGGACTTTGAGGAGGCAGTACCCCTGACTGAAGCCATCCTTTAACACCCCGTTACGGCAAGATTCAAACTATCAAGCATCAATTCCTATAACGGGACATCTGACCTATATGAGCATATTGATAACTATAAAATCATCATGCACATCTAACAACCCACTGACATGCTCCTCTACCAGGTCTTTCCAGTTACCTTCAAAGGGCAAGCTCGAACATGATTCTATTTACTCCTTACTGGAACCATTCCAATATTTATTAAATTGCCCAAAGCTTTTGTCAAACAATTTATTACCATTCGAAGAATGGTCAAAGACTCTTCCCACCTTTCAGGAATTCGCTAGCATGAAAATTAATCCCTCAAGGAGTACTTTAAGAGATTTTATACTAAGGCCCAATAAATTCGAGGGGTGGATCTCGAGTTACTTAGAGGCATTTTTCTCAAAGAGATTCGTCATTGCCCTTTTTACTCAGCACTTATACGAGACACGATCCATTCATATGCTGATTTGATCCATCTTGTGGAGGTATAAATCTCTGCCGATGAAGCCATTAATACTCATAGGAAATAATTCGAGTAAATAATTGGGAAGCAATAAAATACTTAGGTACAAAAAATCTATCCTCGCAGTGGAAGAAGTAAATAAACTATAATCTGCCCCCTCGATCCTCACAGCCATAATGAGAGCCTCGTCAAGAAAAGGAGTACATAAAACTTAATTTATATCGAGCAAATGTGATGATAGCCATCCGAAATTAGGAGAATGTGAAGTGGCTGCATCCTTAGAAGCCCAACATTGAAAATTAGGAGTAATACTGCCAATTCCACTATAGCCGTGGACACACTACTAAAAAGACAACTCAAGGATGAAACTAAGAGACTTTTCTGACAAGGATATCTTTGATAATTAATCCAAACCGGAAGCTCTGTAGACATCTTATTCTACTCCACTTTTCTCAATATAGACCTCCCTAGAGAGAAACATCAGCCGAGTGCTGGTCCATTTTACAGATTTGATTATCGACTTGTGCGAGTGAAAGGAACGATCAGTCTTCCAGTTATACTTGGAGAATTCCCCCGACAGGTTACGTACACACTCCATGTAATTTATTGTGATAAAATCAAAATTGGCCTACAATGTTATCTTTGGAAAGTTGCTCCAGTCAATCTTTGAGATTATTATTTCGATCCCTCAGTTCAAATTGAAATTTTTTATCCCAACAGGAATTAGTATAGTATGAGGAGATCAACAAGTAGCACAATTCTGCTATCTTAGACATGCTCAACCTCGCTTCCACCTATTACGATGCTATAATATACAACTCAATCCTACCAAGTGTACTTTTGGAGTCGCCTCTAGAAAGTTCATAGGGTTTATGATAACCCACCGAGGGATTGTGGCCAATCCTAAGAAGATCAAAGCACTAAGGGCCATGGTTCCTCTAAGAAATATCAAGGAAGTCCATAGACTAAATGGAAGGATTGCAGCACTCTCTTATTTCTTGGTTCACTCAGGAGAGAAATATTTATCCTTCTTCAAGATCCTCAGAGGTTCTCGTAGCTCAGCATTTCAATAGAATGATAAATGCCAAGAAGCCTTCGAACAACTACAAAAGTATTTGGCATCCCCGCCACTACTTTTTAAATCAATATATAGAGAAAAATTATATTTATACATGGCATGAGTCTTCTCGGTCAGAAAGCTACGCCCTTATTTTTAAGATCATATGATTGGAGTCTATACAAATCTACTATTGAGAAATATTCTATAAAAGTCTGAGGCATCTAGAAGATTAATTAAGTTGTTGGTGGAGCTAGGAGAATTCAAAATTCACTATAGGTCTAGACCTGATATCAAATCTCAGGCACTTGCAGATTTTATAGTTGAATGAACAGTTCCCATATCTGGTAAGCCACCTTGTGCTTCTACTTCTCCCCCGTGTCAGACATTATATGTTGATGGAGCTTCTGGAAGTTTTAACATCGGAGCAGGAATTTTGTTGATCTCTCCGCAGTAAGTTACCTTATAATACAAGCTCCGACTTAAATTCCTTGCAACAAATAAGTAGAATATGAGGCCCTTATTACCAAACTAAGGTTTACAATCGACTGTGAGGTAAAAAACTTAGTGGTATACACTAATTCATAATTAGTCGCCTCATAGGTGGAGGGAGAATTTGACGTCCACAACCCATAATTGGCCTAGTATTGCAACATAGTAAATTTACTCTTAGCCCATATAGAAGAGAATCATATCATCCATATTCTCCAAGAGAAAAATACACAAATAGATGCACTTTCTAAACTTGCAACATAAAAAACGGGAGATGTTTGTAAGAGGAAGTGTATCGAAGAGATCTACTTTCCAAGCAAATAAGGTTCTTGGACCAGTTACATGCTAACTTCACCCATTTACCTGCTATAGAGATCTCAACATTATAGAGTCCCTAGCTTTTTGCCCAATGGGGGATTAACATAATGGGACCCTTTCCTATAGACATTACACAATGGAAGTACATCATCTTACTTGTAGACTATTTCACCAAATGGGCGGAGGCGGATCCTCTGGCAAAGATCATTAAAGCCAATGACAAACAGTTCTTATGGAAGAATATATTATGTCATTTTAGCCTTCCA